GACGGCGGCGGGCAGAGCTAGGATGGGAATAGGGTGTGGGTTTTGCTGCGGGAAGGTTTTTCAATTTGTAATTATAATATTTTTTATTTTATTTATTTTACTTTATTGTAAAAATGAGTTGGAAATAGTAGAAGATTAAAATTTATTTTATTTATTATTTTTTAATTGCCACGTCACTGACTTAACGGTCAACTTTGAGTGTTGACTGCCACATCAGACAAATTTAACGGAGTTGGACGGAGAGTGACCAAACTTGAACCATTTAACTAATTTGAGTGACCAAGATTGGATTTAAATATTTCCAGTGACCAAACATGAACGTTTTTTGTAATCTCAGTGACCAACCATGCAATTAACCCCAGTCTATACCATATGGTATTGACTGGTATTAAATAACAGCATTTGGTGTTGACTGGTATTTTCATACCATATGGTATGCTGTTATTTAATACTAGTCAATACCATATGGTATGAAAAATACCACCTCATACGAGGGTGGTATAGTATGGTATGAAGTTGGTAACGAGAGGTTTGAATTTTCTCCCCCAGAAAATTTTGAAATCCAATAGATCATGATTAAATCGTTCCTTTTGTGCAAAAATTTCCGAAAATGACTAAATAACGAAGGAGATACCATATGGTATTGAGTTGGTAACGAGAGGGATGAAATTTTTTTTTCTCAAAAAATATTGAAAATGGATATCATTTTGTAGAGCACAACGAACTCGTTCCATCTGTGCAAAAAAAAAAAATTTGAAATCCGAGTCAGAATGAAGAAGATATGATCCAATTAAGAAAACTAGGGAAAATAAATTCTTTTAATTCTCCACCCTTAGATCTGCAGTCACTTAAAAGAATGGTCAAGATTTGATTACTCATTGTTACTCACCCTATCTTGAGCTAGCCCATTGAAACGATTGACTAGACGATACAAATTCACCATTAAAAAAAAATATTCAACTAAAAACGCGGAATAAACAATTCGACATAACGACTATCACCTTATTAATGTTGTAACATGATTTCACCACTAGAAAAGTTTCAGCACTAGGTAGGCATCCCCTTGTTGTAGGCCTATCATCCAACCTTCTCCAATTGTACTGTCTACGTACCTTCTTTGAGCAAATCAGCAATGAATAAGATAGGTTTAAAGACACATTTGGTCACTGAGATTACTAAATTAGGACATGTTTAGTCACTGTAAAAATTTAATATCAAATTTGGTCACTAAAATTATTAAAACAGGACACACTTAGTCACTCGCCGTTAGTTGCCGTCCAACTCCGTTAAAAGACTCCGTTATGTGCTGACGCGGCAAACGTACGCGCCTAGTCAGCGCCGTTTTGGGCCGGAAATGGCCAAACCCGACCCGCCACGTCACTATACCCGCCACGTAATAAACCCAACCCAATCCATTAACCCAACCCGACCCAGAAACAAACCCTAACCCACCTAACCAGACCAGAGGCCACTTACAGACCCTTCTCCTTCCTCGAGCTCTTCCCCTTCGCCATTTTCGATCAAACCCTGAGAGCAGGGAGAGATGAAGTCGCGTTGAAGTCTCGTTGAAATCTGGGAGCTCTTCTCCGTCGCATTGAAGTCACATTGTTCGACTTCTTCGAAGTCGCGGGTTTCCGCCATCGCAGTCAGTTTCCCTCGCCGGCAGACAACGAGACCTTGAGATTCTCTTCGATTCGCGTTGTACTTCTTCTTCTTCGTCGCCCGCCAGCGTTAGCTTCCTCAATCGCAGCAGTGGAGGAAACCCTAAACTATTCCCCCATCGCGCCAGTTACTACCCTCTTAGCCCCGACTCCCCGACTGTAAATGTAAGTTGAGCCTCTCTCTTTTCTGGTTAAAAGGTAGTCTGAAGAGTCTGGAAAAGAGGAAGGGGCATATGAAAGTGAAGAAGTGGTTTCATGTTTGGTCATGGGGCTCTCTGTTGGGGTTGTTTTATACTGAAAATGGACTTTCCTGTTTGTTTCCCAGCTCACCATTCCACGCGAGAACTATGGTGGGGCATGTGCGGGCACCAGATGATATTCAGCCCCGTTATCGTAAGTTTACCCCTTTTTCCACCCTTGTCTTTATGGTAGAAAGCAGTGGTTGTATCATAAAGTCGACAAGGACAGCCTTGTTGTCGTTTGGGAATAGAAAATGTAGGTTTTGTGGGGATGACCAAGACTAGCAGTAGTTGTTTGACCTTCTTTCTTTGCTTTTATGAGTTTTTTCTCTTGTCTTTATGCAAAGAGCATTCATGGGGTGTACCATTTCACATTCAAACTCTATTATAGATAAGGACAACACTTGGTTGTCATTTTGGAATAGAAAAATTCAGATTCTTGTGGGGATAACCAAACACTTTTTGTTTATTTTATTACAAGTGGCCTTTATGGTGACTTTAACCCCTTACATTTTGTTGTTTTCTTCTTCTTAACAGGTGATTGCAGTGGGGAATTCACTTTTGCAGTGCATGTGTCACTTGAATTAAACAAGAAGAGTGACAAGCATTTCCTCAATGAGAAGGAAACTGTATTTTGGGACTATGCCGACATTGATGAGCTATCAGTGTTGGATTTGCCGGATATATACCAGGCATGTGGTGGGAGGGTTGAGGAACCGAGATTCCTTTGGAAATCTCCATGCAATAGTACAATGACAGAGATTACTAATGATGAAGATATTCTAAACATGTCAACTGTAGCTAATGGAGGTGAAAGAGTAATTGAATTGTATGCTATATCCAAGACTGATTTTGAAGATTTCATGGAGACTGGGTTGGAGGAAGTGAGAAAGGGCGCTGAAGTTGAGAAGGAGCAACCCGAACTCAACGGTTATCATTGAGCAGAGAGCTCAATGTTTTAACCAAATGTATGTGTGTTTCGATGCATCCAAGCAAGGGTTCAAGGCTGGATGTAGGAAAGTATTGTGCATCGATGGTTGCTTCTTGAAGCATGAATTTGGAGGGCAACTTCTTTCAGCAGTGGGTTTGGATGGTAATGAGCAGTATTATCCTATTGCGTTTGCTCATGTCGGAGTGGAGAACAAGGAAAATTGGGAGTGGTTTATTCAACTACTTGCTGCCGATCTGGAGATAGAAGGCAATCCTAGATGGTTATTCATGTCAGATAAGCAGAAGGTAAACCACATTCAGTTTCCTTTCTTTTGCAATTAGTCAAACGATAAATGCTAACCCGTTTTTGTTGTGTTTAGGGTCTCGTTCCAGCCCTTGACCAGCTGTTTCCCAACTGTGAGAAGCGCCATTGTGCAAGACACCTGTGGACGAATTTGAAGGGGGCTTGTGGAGGCTCCAAAATGCTCAAGGACTTGTTTTGGACAGCAGTAAGGGCGACTACAGTGCCTGAGTTTCGAAATGTGATGCAATCATTGGCTGAGTATAGCAAACCTGCCTATGATTGGCTGGTCGAAAAGTCCTTCTTCCATTGGACCAGATCACATTATCAGACTTACACCAATTCCTGGATACACACCAGCAATATTGTTGAGAGTTGGAATAATACGATACTAGAAGAGAGAGATTTGGGTCCAATCAGCATGTGGGAGGGGATCCGGAGGAATTTGATGGTTTTATACGCCCGACGACAGGAGGATGTGGAGAAGTGGGCTGGTCCTTTTTGTCCAAATATTGAGACAAAGCTGCAATCATTGACTAGAGAGGCTGTGAAGTGGGTTGCTGTGTCTAATGGGAGACGACAGTTTGAAGTAAGATGGCACGACAAGCAGGTTGTTGTGAGTTTGAAAGATCAGACTTGCACTTGCAGAAAATGGGACTTGACTGGTATTCCTTGCTAGCATGCTATTCAAGCCATTCATACGGCAAACCTGCAAGTGCAAGACTATGTTGCTGGTTGCTACACAAAGGAGACTGTTGCAGCGATTTATAGCTACTCCATTTCACCTACCACTAGTAGGGACTACTGGCCAGTTTCCGAGTTGGGAGATGTTGGTGTTCCTCCTCCTCAAGAATCGAAAAAGAGAGGGAGGCCAAAGAAACAAAGAAGAAAGGGGCTCGAGGAGGCTGAAACAGCCAAGAAGAAACAAAAGAAGGATGGAAGGGACAAAGCAAAACCTGAAAAAAGCAGTACAAGTGTGCAGAATGTGGTCTACTAGGGCACAACAAAACCTTTCACGATGAAGCAAGAAAAATTAAGGTACAAGAGAAGAAGAAAGAGAAGGAAGAAGAAAAGAGGAGGCAACAACTTGAACGAGCCGAGAGAAACAGAGTTGCAGCATTACAGAAGCTACAACAAAGAGCTACAAAAGCTGCTGCTTCTTCATCGAGTAGTCAGGCCCATGTAGTGCAACTCATTACAGATGTATGATTTCAGTCTAGTGGATGTTCCTTTTATATTAGTCCATTGCATTCAACATACTAATGCCATCTTAATTTGCAGGGAAGTACACGGAGGCCAAACTGTGAGGTTCCAAGTCAAGCAAGTCAAGCCTCCCAACTATCACAGATTGCAAGCCAGGTGACACAAGCAGAGCATCTGTGAAGACCAAATTTATCTACAGTAGGGTTATGTTAGGGCATGGTGAATGGCGCTTTTGAACATTGCATCCTTTAATGTGTATTGCAAGCCATTGCAGACTTGCTATTTTGCCAATTTAAACTTGACTTGTCGTTTAGCTATCGTAGTGGTTGTTAGGTCATGCATGGTACATGGCTCTTTTGGACAATGAAGCCTTTAAGGCTATTTATAACTGACTATCGTATGTAACCAATTGTCCAAGTTCTGAAAAATACAGAACACTGCTAGTGACCATATGTGGTCCTGAGTTGACTTTTCTAGTGACCAAATGTGACCCTATACCTGTTTTCCAGTGACCAAATGTGACCATGTATAGTATTTTGAGGGATCAAATATGGCCCTGATTGGGTTTTCGAGTGACAACATGTAGCCCTGAAATGTTTTCCTAGTGACCAAATGTGACCAATAATTGCTTTCCGAGTGACGAAACATGCCTCTACATTGCAATTTCAGGCACCAAACGTGAAATGTCATTTTTTTAGGGTTACACAGTCTACAATACAGAGAACCTTCGAGTACAGCTGGTAAGATTCAGCAAAGAGCTGCTTACTTTCCGATCCAAATGCAAAAGAATACAAGAGCAAACACAAAGAAGATGGACAATGTTTTGCCATTAGATTTGACCCCTTTCCCATTTTGCCTATTCTCTTGCTCCCGGATCCGACGATGAAAGTTCAGCACCAAAAATTTCATATGCTCGTCAAGTGCTGGGTCATGCCATCTGAAGTAATTACATGCCCCATTTGTCTACAAATCACACAGAAAAGAAAGAAGGGTGAAGGAAAGGGACAGTCCAGTGGTGAAAGTACAGATGAATTGAAGGTGAGGGAAACTTACCCCGTACTTGCTGCACCCGAAGAACCTCCTGCCTGGATTGCCATCAGTCCAGCTGGTCTTCAAAACTGCTGGATCTCCACAAAAGCAGAAGTGTCCCACCATTAGTAGAGAATGGATAAATGGGCACTGCGGAACAAGAAGGAAACGAAGGGATTTGAGGCGTGAATGAAAGATTGAAAGACTGTGGACAGGGAGCCATATAAAGAAGATGGAGGGTCTGGTTAGGTGGGTTAGGGTTTGTTTCTGGGTCGGGTTGGGTTAATGGATTGGGTTGGGTTTAATACGTGGCGGGTCGGGTTTGGTCATTTCCGGCCCAAAACGGCGCTGACTAGGCGCTCACGTTAGCCACGTCAGCACATAACGGAGTTTTTTAACGGAGTTGGACGGCAACTAACGGCGAGTGACTAAATGTGTCCAGTTTTAGTAATTGTAGTGACCAAATTTGATATTAACTTTTTATAGTGACTAAACATGTCTCGATTTTGTAATCTCAGTGACCAAATGTGTCTTTAACCCGAATAAGATAATTGAGTAATGCAATGATGTGGCAGTATGGAACACTTTAGAAATTGTTTATTCATGGAGGGGATATAGATGGTCTTATGTAGGACTGTAAACGAGCTGAGTCGAGTCTAGTTTTTGCTTAGTTTGAGCTCGGCTTGTTTACAAAATTTTCAGCTCGAACTCGAAGTTTGATAATCCAGTTTGAGCTCGGCTCGATTAAAAATAATCCAACTCGACTTGGTAGTGCTCAGTAAATACTCATTAACAAAGCTTATCAAGTTGAGTACAAACTCAGCTCAAGACGAGCTCGATTTGAAATCATTCCTGCTGAAAAATGTGTGTACATAAGCATTTAAATGATAAAAAGAACACAAGAAACTAAAAATAACAGCTAACATCCATACACATCCATATTAACAAGATAATGTTCATGTTCAGAAGAGTAATTAATCCTTCCACAAGGTTTAAACAAGATAGCTCGCGAGCTTAGCTCAACAAGCCACCGAGTCAAGCTAGCTCACGAGCTTATCAAACTGAGCATGGTTTAACTCAAGCTTGACTCGTTTACTAACGAGTTGGCTCGTGAGCCGGCTTGTTAAACAACGAGCCGAGTGTCGAACGAGTTTTTCCCAATTCGAACGCCGAGTTGCTCACGAGCGACTTGGCTCATTTATAGCCCTACTATGATGAATCCCGAACTTTTATTTTATCATCCTAATAAAAATGAGTTGTACCGATCGTATTTTACACAATGGTATCCATTTTGATATATTTTAAAATTATATTTCTCAATTAAAATGGCATGAAAAAAATAAAATACATTAGTAAACGCTTTTATTTTGTGAACAACCATTATTATTTGTATGAATAATCACCAATTATTATTACATGAATAAACAACCGTACATTTCTCAACAACTTATTATATTGGTTCGAAGTCTCCATTACGTTAATAAAGTACACAAACAAATCACTAAGGCCAGGCGATCGAGTACTCTTTCTTCTTCATTGACTGTCGTCTTTTTCTTGCTCGTAATTTGTCGCTAGCTTCATCCTTTCCTTCCAGGCGGAGACACGCTTCCCCGAGCAGGATACGGCGGGGCGATTGTCCAATACGGTGGCGGTGGTCGAGACGCCGGGGAGAATATAGTTGGCGGCGGAGGAGATGCCCCACCTAATTAGTGACAAAACGATACCGACAATTAAATAATAACGAAAGTAATTATCTATACATACATTGGTTACCAATAAGTAAATCGTTACCAATTCGGGGAAGTTGACGACGGGCCTCCGTTGATTGCGCCGCCATAAACAGAAGAAGCAGCAGGAGCACCGGCGGCAGTAGCCGGCCGAGCACCATTTTCTTGCTCCGATTTACTGCCATCTCTCTCCCTCTCTCTATCTCAAGAACGGGGGAAAAGACGTTTGGTTGAGGAATTGGAGTACGCGACCCAGTAATCTATTTATAATTCATTTGTTTTTTTTTGTTTTTTGTTTTTGACGAAGAAACGATTGAGAGTCAACTCCGTAAGAGAGAGGGAGGGCTCTCTCTGTCTCCTGTCTTTTATTAATCCCACCTAACCCCATATGCACTACTTCAGTCTAGTGTCATATATATAAATATAGGTGGTTATACCGTTCGGTTCGGTTAAATATGCCTGAATTGATATGGTCTCAGTCCGGTCTTTTCGAGAATATAAGGATCAAAGATTGGATTGGATAATTTTCGCTTTCCCTCTCTTCTCAATTCTCATCACACAATAATACACAAGATTAAGGAGATCGGCTCCGCTCCCACCGCCTCCTACGGCAGCGGCGCCATCGGTGGAGGCCCCGTTCCCTCCGCTGCTAATTTCGATGAAGAACCGCCTATTCTCGACGAGCTCGGGCGGGGGTATCAGGTTCGTCATATCTGGAGTTTTCGTGATCTGGGCAACCAGGGCTTGCACCAATCTCATGGTGGCAGTGGCCAGAGGCGGAGAAGAACATCGTGGGTTGATTGCGGATTGAAGGAGGAGAACATTGTGGTGTTCATGTTCGACGATATCGCTAACATCGAGCTTAATCCCAGGCCCGGGTCCATCATCAACCACCCGCAAGGCGACGACCTTTACGCCGGCGTCCCCAAGTTTGCTTCCGACGATGCGAATCCCGACGGCCGGCAGTTACACTTTAGCAGGCTTCAGTTTTGGGTCCGACGGTTACATTTCCAGAGCATCGGTTACAAATCCAGAGGCGATTCCAACTGCGATCCGTTTCAGATACGCTTGTTCTTTCTCTTTCCTCTCTAATTTTTAATATTTATTTATTTTCAGAATTATAATTCTAAAATCTTTTAATTTATTTTCCTTAACTGCTCGTATTTATAAACTTTTCATTAACTTTACTGTAAAAAAAAGTAATAAAAAATGTATTTCTTTTGACCTTGTTAGCTTTTGATTCGGAGTATCCGACTAAGCCTCAATGGCTTGTTTAAGTCCATTCGGTGGAGCTTAGTTGTCCTCCACTATGGGCGCTTGTGTGTTTGTTTGTTTTTGCAGGGACACGTAATTTTCCCTTGACCATACAAGCATCCATCCATTATGATTCAATTTCATGATGTTGCGCATGCGACAGGTAGAGCGATCTTGGAAGAGATTTGTTTGGCGTCTGTGCCTTTTAATTTCTTTATTTGTACTTTTACGCAGAGGTTGTACAACAGGGCTGCCCACTTAGTGGCTTCTAATGCCCTTTCATCGACAGCTCGATATTGTGTCGACTGTCGCGTCTGGTTTTCTAGCGTCCTGTAATATCTATTTCATTCCCGATCTATGGCAAAAAATAAAAAATAAAAAAAGATTGGATTGGATACAATCCAGTCTTGATCTGGTCGGGTCCCAATTTGATCTTGATTTTAGATTGAGCTTGTGGGGATTTTAGTGGCCTGAGGATTCAAAGGGTGAGGAGTTGGTTAAATTTTGGGTGTTGGGCTCTCTTATTCGGTCTTCATTCGATTTTCGATTCGGTCCCAAACAGTTTTTTCATCTCAAAACTAAACCCGAAAATTATTGTTTACTATCCGAATCCGGTCCGATCCCGGTCCAAATTACACAATCCGATTTCAGATAAAATTCAAATAGTCCGGACCAAATAGCCGCACTATTCATTACTCGGTAGTCATATACGCGCTTTGGAGCGGCTAAATAGAGTTGATAACAAGCTTCCACACGACAAATGAGTTGAATTTAAGAAACTTTTTTTGTACGTATGCTCATAGCTCATTGTCAATATATAGAAGGGGCGTTTGTTGGCCGGGGAGGACCCAGAGGACTTTGGGACACCCCATAAATTTAGTGAAAATTATCATTAATAGTGGGAGTATTTGTAGTAGTATATACATATACAAATAAACTAATTTCAAGCTACCCTTAACTTGTATTAATTTTATGGTTGTACGAAAAGTGTTGAAAGAGTCTTTTCAGTTTTGGGTTAAATCAAGAACATGTTTAGAAATCGAATATGAGATCAATTCGTGAATGATTGTCTAGTAGTATATACATATACAAATTTTTTTGAGCAGTTTAGGCACCAAGTGTATTCTACAATTATTTCTGAATATGAAAACACATGATGGACTTTTTTTTAATTTGTACTAGTAAGGTATTATCTTATTTAATAATTATTTAATAGTTATTAATGATTTAATATCAATTTTTTAATTTATTTTTTAAAAGAGGAAATCCCTATATACAAAACTCATGGCTCTACCACTATTTGTTGGAAAAGTAAAATATGATTGCGGCCGGTCGGATTTCTCGATGCTCATATTATTTGTAATGTGCTATTTATGAATTATGTGGGGTAATATTTGTGTATGTACCGAAGAGGCAGATCATTCCAGTAAGATCCTCTGTGATTTTTAATTACAATCTTGATGTTTAGCAAGACATCAATTGTCACGTTGCTCCTGACAGACTGGATTCTGATCGTATATATCTTAGCTAGACTGTTATACACAATGATCGGGAAAAAATCCCAAAATACACATGTTTTTAAAAAAATTCTCAAAATACACACGTTATAAAAAATTTCCCAAAATACACATGTTTGGGCATCACCGCTGTTGTCAACCGCAGTGAATGCATTCACCGCGGCAGACCAAAGCGGTGAATGCATCACCACGTTTGACGGTCACGGTGAATGCATCATCGCGGTTGACGGCCGCGGTGAATGCCTAACGCAACACTGAAACTTCAAACAAACGTAATTTTGCGCTCGGTTATTCGATTGTAGCGAATATTTTTTTGATTCTACATAACTTCTCAAGATCTTTCAATCTGTAACAGAATTCATCCAAAAAAAAATCATTTTCTACCCCGAATGAGCAATTTTTCGATTTTGACAAACTTTGGAAGATCATAACTTTGTGCTCCACAATCCGAATGTCATGAAACTTTTTTTTTATTTTGCATAACTTTTGAAGTACTACAACTTTTATTATAACCATAATTTTGGAAAGTATGTGGATTTGTGAAAAGTAAAGGCAAAGTTATTCCCAAAATCCCGTATACCCAAAAATACTTCTTTTTTAAAAAATTACTTCCTAGTAAAAGTTGTAGTTCTTAAAAAGTTATGCGCAATAAAAAAAACTTTACCACGTTCGGATTGAGGAGGTAAAAGTTATGTCCTTCCAAAGTTTGGCAAAATCGAAAAATTGCTCGTTCGGGGTAACAAACGACATTTTTTTTAGATGAAATCTGGTTTCAGATTGAAAGATCTTGAAAAGTTATATGGAATAAAAAAAAATTCGCCACAATCGGATAACCGAGCGCAAAGTTATGTTTGTTTGAAGTTTCAGTGTTAAGTCGTCAGGCATTCACCGCACCCGTCAACCGCGGTGATGCATTCACCGCTTTGGTCTGCCGCAGTGAATGTATTCACTGCGGTTGACAACAGCGGCAATGCCCAAACATGGGTATTTTGGAAATTTTTTTTATAACGTGTGTATTTTGAGAATCTTTTTAAAAAACATGTGTATTTTGAGAATTCATCCCAAAGACCGAGCTAGAATGCAATTCCGGTCAGATCGAGCATTTAGTTAGTTGCTTTAAGAACTTATCATCAGAAAATTTGTAGCCAGTACAGGAGCCAATGATGCATAATGAGGTGGGTTTCGGGATCCACTTTGATTCAAGAGAAAAATAAATTAATATAGATACGATAGTCAGATGTTGATGAGATTGGACTTAGTTTAACCGTTATTTATATACAATACATTCTAGTTTCTCCATATACATAATTATAATACCAAACAAAACATTTTTTTTTTTGGTGAAAATACCAAACAAAACTTCATACTTCATATCTTAATAAATCCTTTATTTTGTATATTACTCTTCTTCCACCAAATTTTCCTGTTGAAAAGTGTTATTTTCATTAACCTAATAATGAGTTCTCTGATAACCGTATTTTAGATTTTGAATCTCAACAAGCTTATTTATATATATGATTTGAATAAATACTACATGGATGTTTTCTACAACTAAACAGAACTCCCGAACTTTTTAGAATTATGGTGATTAGAAGAATCATCTTATAATATTTTACTTCATATTCGATCCCCTTTATATAAAATTCTGGCTAAACCACGCTTACAACATATTCAATGAGCTTTCTTCTTCTTTCAACCTTTATTTCCAGGCGGTGACACGCTTGAACGGGCTTGATACTGCGGAGGTGTCGGTGTCGGTGCCGGCGGTCTCATAAATGGTGATGGTGGCGAAGAGGCTAGACTGGGCGGCGGCGGGGAAGGAGATCGCCGACCTATATATCAAAACGATATATACCAACAGAACGTAATTTAATTAATTAAACAATCAAAACAATAACCGGAGTTTGCGTACTAAATAATTAATTGGGACTTGGGAGGACAAATAAATGATATTATGCTTATAAGTTACCAGTTTGGAGAAGACGACGAGAGTCTGCTGGTTGCACCGCCATGAACAGAACAAGAAGCAGCAGCAGCAGAAGCACCACCATTTTCTTGCTCTGACTAATTACTGCCATTTTCTCACTCTCTCTTCCAACTTCTTTTGCTGTTTGAAGTTTGAGCCGATTGATCGATAGAATAGAGTGTGCAGCTCAGAGGGTTATTTATAGTTGATATGACCATGATGAGCATATATATATATTTCTTTAATTTGACTAATTGACTCATGTCGTGCAACTTTTTCTCTAGGTCATTGGATTAGTCGTTTCATACTCTATATGTATATACATGTAAGCATCGTTTGCTCATATTTTTATGATCAACTCGGTTTTGATCGGCCAGCTAATCCGTTTTAAGTCCACAATTAGCTTCCGGTTGTTGTTATATATGGATTTCAAAGACTCAGACTAGCCTAGGTCTTTCCATTAATGTATCGTATGAGTTTAGATGCTCCTCCTAGGCTTGTGCGCCACAAATCCATCCCAATCATAACAAGAAGGTGCTTAATTTGGTCCGAAAGTTGGTTGTCAAAACCGAACCAGCTCAGTAGGGAAGTACCCAACTTTACCATAATTTGGTCCGAGCAGGCTCAAAACGAGCCGTAGACCGATTGGTTGGATCATGACGGGTTTGGATGAATAATCGATGAAACTCCCTAAACTCAAACAGTTGACTTTGCCTCAAAACAGTGACAAAATTTCTAATTGGCTTTTATTTCTTTTGTTTCTTACGTTTTTTCGGTGGTTGACAGACCTTATTGGGAGATCCCCCTCACGATCTCCCTTAGACGAGGAGCTGAAGCAGAGCATGTTCAGTTGATGGAGTTGTTATCTTTGTTGCCATCAAATAGGATATCCATGGGACCGGCGCAATTGGTTTGGCCATTGGAGTCGTCCTTTGTCTTCTCGGTTCATTCTTTCACAACTAATTAATCTCATTAATGGTGCATTCTGAGGCGATATATTCTACCCTACCAAGTTGGTTTGGATTTCTTCAATTCCCTCCAAGATCTGTTGTTTCATCTGGATGACATCCCTCTCGAAGATCTCTAGCATCGACTACCAGAGGAAGAGAGGCATGATTCTTACAAACTGGTGCTCTCTATGCAAATGTCAAGAGGAGTCTGTCTCACATCTCTTGTTCTCATGCTCATTTTCAGCTGCAATTTGGATAAAATTTACAAAGATGCTTCTATTTCACGGTCCGTTTCCTGCTAATACCAGTTGTTTTCCTCCTAGCTTGGAGAGGCTTGTGGTGTGATCCAAGACTTAAGGAATTTGCCAAGGTCTTAACACATGTAGTGTTTTGGTCCATCTGGAATGAGCGAAACATTATAATTTTTCGTGACTTGGAAGCTTCACTCTCTGAGGTTTGCAATAAGATTGTTCAGATGGTTGCTTGCTTTTGGACTTATCTCTGATGACTATTTTCAGTAGTGGTTAAGGATTGGGGCAGACAGTAAATATTTGTGATTTTTGTATTTTTTTTGTTCTTCCTTTTTCAGTTTTTTGTGCTCCTTTCTTGAATTTTATCGTAAGTGGGTTTTGACTTTGTTGGGTGGATATGTTTTTTCCATTTCTATTTTTGTAGCACGTTGTCATCTACTTCCTTTTTTTATGTATTTTCTTTTGTGGTTCCACAAATTCCACAGTTTTGTGGCATTGACTCTCTTTTTTATTATCATGTTTTTCTTATTTTCGATTTGGTAATAAAATTGAGTCTCATCATTCATAGAAAAATCTCGCCACATTAAACTGCTTCTCTGGAACTCTTTCTGTTTTGTTTAGGTGTAGCGATCTCGACCATCTTGACAGTACCAAGAACATGATCGAAGGACTCATATACGAGAAACTTGACACGAAATTGAAGCCATTAGATCCGCCACATTCTCTCACTCCTAGAACCCTAACCCCTTCTCTCAATCAAATTGATCATTTGCTCCCCGTTCTTACTACGATTAAGGAATCATTTTGAGCTAATGTCAGCAATTTTGCATAAAAAATCGACGACAAAGTAAAACTCCAAAATAGGTATGAGAAAAATTGGAATCGACTGGCAACAAAACATAAGCAAAAGATTTTAGTGTAAATTAATATAAGCATATTATGGATACTTTTGGACAAATGAGATGACAATACCAAAATCACTTTCAGCTTGAAAGGTACTAATAATAGTTAACCAACACCTTAGTTGCCAAGTTACCTGAAAAGATTGTCCTGAGCGCATAGAGTGATGATTGATGACCACCGAGTAACCCATGAAGCCATCACCCATCTCCATATTCTGCAAAGGGACATTATTTCCTGTTCTAATTGAAGCCATTGGCTAGGTAACCGGGAACGGGAATTACGGTGTGACCCAAATGGGACAAACCTGGGCTTATTAAACTTGGAAAAAGACTCTTCCCTTTGCTTTCTCTCTCGACTACAACTGCTTCAGTGTGCCTCTTCACTGTCCCTGCTTCCGTCTGTTCGTCGGCTGTCAACCGGAGACTCGGCTCCTCTCGACACAAGGCTTCCTCTACTCCACTTGGGTATTTCCTTGCACTTTTTCTTCCTTCCTTCCTTCCTTCGTTTTTCCGACTATTTTCTCCGGCATGATAACTTTTCATCGTTGACGTTTGATTCACAATGCCGAAATTCGCTGCTGGATTGATCATTGGGTTCTTCTATCTTTGCTCTTTGGCCCACCACTTGTTTTGGTTTCAATACAACAACCTTATTTATCGTCGATGGCGATTGGGGAGTGGACTTTACTTCTTGATTGTGGGGAGGGGGTCAAGCTGATATGGTGAAATTCCTTTGATCAGCTATAGAAAGACAAGTTAACTGAAGTGAATGTTGTTGATCGTGCCTACTGCAAAAAGAAAAAGATGGACTTTCTGCCAATTTTTTTTTTTTTTTTTTTATGAACTTGACTGTTGTGTGATTTCAGGAGGCAGCTTCACTCCATGCATACTTGAAAAACTGGAAAGGGTTTGGCAATGGGGAAGACAGTGAAAGTCTATGGATTCCCCTCTCGTGTTACTGCCGAAGCAGCTAAAAGTTACCTCGAAAGTCATACGGGTGAAGGTACCATTGAGGCCCTTAAGATGAGGCAGGCCAAGAATCATCCTAGATCATATGCTATAGTTCAGTTCACAACCATTGAAAAGGCTGAATATGTTGTCTCGCGAAGCAGGCAACTTTATTTTGGTACTTCATATCTAAAAGTGCAAGCCATGGATCACGATGTTATACCTAGGCCGAAGACTTTTCTTCATGTCATTGAAGGTGCAGTGCTGCACTTTGGATGTCAAACATCCAGGGAGAAGTTCTCCGATCTCTGGAGAGCAACTGATGTTTTGATGAAGTTTGGACATGGGATGAGGAAACTGCATTTCTATCTTTCTCATCATGGAACTGATTACAAGCTTGACCTCCGGTATGAGAACATATGGCAGATTGAGCTACATCGCCCACGAGGTCAACATGTGAAGTATCTTGTGTTTCAGGTTCCTCTTAAACTCAATCTATTGCTCTTCTATGTAATTTCGTTGACTTCTTTAATTTCCCTCCTAAATGCTGGTTTATAGTTTCTGCTATCAATGCATGAATTTAGTTTGTTGGGTTGGTTCAGTTGGGCTTGGAACTCGTCAGTGCTGATTGTGGTGCTTGATCTAGTACTATATGTATATTCCCACATATACTGTTTGTTATAGAATGCTGTTGTTACTCCAACATTTCTTTCTAAACCCTTGATATCTTGGTCAACCCATTAGTTCAAAACTTTTTATCATTACTTTTAGGTTATGTTGTGTGATTGAAGACACTAGATCATAGTATTCCAACTTATGTGCAAGCTTAGTCCATGACGTTTGCAGTTCTTATTTTGTCTGTGCTGACTTCTCTCTTCCAATGTAGTTGTTTGGTGCTCCTCGGATTTTCGAGAAAGATGTGCGCATGTCATTTAATTCATATGATGGTCCTCTTTGGAATTTCTATAAGGCTGGGTCTGATGATCAATGGGTAAGAACAACTGACTTCACACAATCTTGCCGCATTGGTCATGCCTCTTCGCTATGCTTGGAGATTCCTCATGACTTTAGACTTCTGGATCTGGCTGATAGTGATGGGAAGTTTATTTTAGAGGATGGCAGTCCCTTTTCACAGAATCCGAGTCTAGTCCCGATTGTTGGTCCTCCCCTGAAGGTTGATTTACCTTTCGAGATTCTGTTCAAAGTCAATTTACTTGTTCAGAATGGATGCCTTCCAGGGCCTGCACTTGATGCTGACTTCTACAAGCTGGTTGATCCTCAAAGAGTACCAATTGTCTGGATACAGCTTGCCCTTGAGAAACTCTTTTACTTGAAGGAATGCTGCTACGAACCTTCAAGGTGGCTTCAGGAGCAGTACACGAAGCATCATGGATCTCAGAACCCTGCAAGATCACCAGCAATATCATTGGATGATGGATTAGTATATACACACAGGATTCAGATAACTCCTTGCAAAGTCTACTTTGCCGGGCCTGAGGTTAACGTCTCAAACCGTGTGCTGCGCCACTTTCCAGATGATATAGAGAACTTCATTCGTGTTTCCTTTGTCGACGAAGAACTGGATAAAATTCATTCAACAGATGTTGCATCACGTGGATCTTCTGTACAGGATGCTAAGAAGCGAGGAATTTATAACAGGATTTTTTCTACTCTTCGTGATGGTATAGTTATCGGTGGGAAGAAATTCGAGTTCCTTGCTTTCTCAGCCAGCCAGCTTCGGGAGAACTCTTGCTGGATGTTTGCTTCAAGATACGGCCTAACCGCTGATGATATAAGGAAATGGATGGGCGATTTCCGTCAAATAAGAAATGTGGCCAAGTATGCTGCCAGGTTGGGCCAATCATTCAGCTCCTCCACTAAGTGTCAGTGCAGAAGAAGTTGAAATTATTCCCGACATAGAAGTGAAAAGTGGGGAAACTAAATACATCTTTTCAGATGGAATAGGGAAGATATCTGCACAATTTGCCAAGCGAGTTGCAGCAAAATGTGGCTCTTGCAATGGTTCTGTCCCGTCGGCATTTCAGATTCGATATGGTGGGTATAAAGGTGTTGTAGCAGTAGATCCAACTTCAACGAAGAAACTGTCCTTGAGAAAGAGCATGTTTAAATATGCGTCCGAGAACACAAAGCTAGACGTGCTTGCTTATAGCAAGTATCAACCTTGTTTCATGAACCGCCAGGTGATCACTCTTCTCTCCACTCTGACCATATTTTTGAAAAGAAGCAGAAAGAAGCAGTGGATCAACTTGATGCTATATTAACTGACCCATCAGCGGCACTGGAAGCTTTGGACTTGATGCCTCTCGGAGAGACCACCAATGTACTGAAGTAAATGTTGTTGTGTGGTTATAACCCTGACGATGAACCTTTTCTTTCCATGATGCTGCAAACTTTCTGGGCGTCTAAGTTGCTTGATTTACGAACAAAAACAAAGGTTTTTCTTCCAAAAGCAAGATCTATGATGGGTTGTCTTGATGAATCAAGAACTCTGGAGTATGGTCAGGTCTTTGTGCAGTTTTTCGACTTTAAGAATGACCGATTTTCGAGAAGTGGTGTATCCAGACGCTGTGTGCTCAAGGGTAACATAGTGGTGGCTAAGAATCCATGCTTGCACCCAGGTGATGTGCGTATATTGAGGGCTGTAGATGTGCTAGCTTTGCACCATATGGTGGATTGTGTTGTTTTCCCACAAAAAGGGCATAGGTAGGTCTCTTCTCTAATATCCCTACTTTATGCATTGGATTCTGGTTTTTGGGCAAATATGTTGATTCCCCATTTGCTTTTGTTTTTGTTAGAGCATGATTCTGGATTAATCTAGATGACCACTTGTTCTGCCAAGTAGGTTAGTTAATTAGACACCTGAATCACGTGTTCTGCAGTTTTTTTGTTACTTCACTTGATATATTTCCTCCATGTTCTAAACCACTAAACTGTTAGTTACTTGGATCTCATTTGGCCAATTGGAACTTGGTGATCTCTATTGTATGAACAATTAGTTCCTTTTAACATTGGTTGAGAATGTACATCATAATATTGATGAAAGCTATGTCAGACATCATGACACTTGCCTTTCTATCTTCATAAGAAAAGTTCATGATAGTTCAGGATTCAGGTGGTTCTTTCTAGATGATGGCCAGCCCACTTCACAGGAATATTGATATACCTTCTATTTGATTCCTTTCTTCAGTAACCTTTTATGTTTAAAAGAATGTCATTCATGCCAATGGTCTGTGTTCAAACTTCAGGCCACATCCAAACGAATGCTCAGGAAGTGATTTGGATGGAGACATCTACTTTGTTTGTTGGGACTCTGAACTGATCCCTCCTGAGCAAATCCCACCGATGGACTATACCCCTCAACCAACTATGCAGCTGGATCATGATGTTACCATTGAGGTACCTTATATACTACACACCATGTAGCGAGGGCCGAGTATGACTATTTGGTACCTTACCAAAAGATTCCATCATTTTTCTTTTTTTGTATTTCAGCTCTCAAACAATACGTGTTCTGTTGTTGCAGGAAGTTGAGGAGTATTTCACCAATTACATAGTAAATTACAGCTTAGGAATCGTTGCGCATGCTCACATTGTCTTTGCTGATAAGGAACCTCAGAAAGCCATGAGCAAACCATGCATAGAGAGCTAGCACATAAGTTTTCAATTGCAGTCGACTTCAACAAAACTGGAGTTCCAGCCGTGATACCTCCTCATCTTCACGTCAAAGAGTATCCAGACTTCATGGAAAAGCCTGACAAACCAACATACCAATCCCACAACGTCATTGGGAAGCTTTTCCGAGAAGTGAAAGACATTGCTCCGCACACCAGCTGTGTCAAGTCCTTTACTAAACAGGTGGCACGCCAGTGTTTTGACCCTGATTTGGAAGTGGATGGGTATGAAGCTTACTTGGCCGATGCCTTCTACTATAAGAGCAATTACGACTACAAGTTGGGCAACCAGATGGACTACTACGGGATCAAAACAGAAGCCGAAATACTGAGTGGGAATATCATGAAGCTATCCAAATCTTTCACCAAGAGAAGGGATTCCGAGGCGATAGGGATGGCTGTAAGGGCCTTGAAGAAAGAGGCCAGGTCGTGGTTCAATGAGAAGGGAAGCAATTTGGATTCTGAAGACGATGATGTGTATGCAAAAGCCTCGGCTTGGTACCATGTTACTTACCATCCAAAATACTGGGGAGTCTACAATGAGGGAATGAACCGGCCTCATTTCTTGAGTTTCCCCTGGTGTGTGTATGACAAGCTGATCCACATCAAGAAGAAGAAGGTCGCTAGAAGGAAGGAGCTGGAAAAGCTGGAATACCAGCTACAGCATGATCTGCGATTGTGAGCAGCACTCTGGTTAGAAAACCAGAGGAAGGGGAAGGTTTTTCGTCTGTGTATATTTGCTATAGATGTCAGGTTAGAGGGTTGTGCAAAGTGCTTGGCTTTTGGATGTTATTATATCAGCAGTTTCAGGTATGTAGATATACGCAGCCTGCCAAGGGTAGTATGGCTTTTGCTAACAGTTTGATATCTGTCCAGCTTATTTTGAAATCTATTCAAAGTTGATGCAGTGTTGGTAATCTGTAAATAACAAGATAAAGTAGAGGAAGCTCGAATCCTCTCAACTTGACTTCATCCTTTGTACAAATTATAAGAGCAACTGCAATTGACTCATATGTTAGAACCTTGAAGCATTTCAACTCTGAAAGAATCAGAGAACCATGTCTGCAACTATTTGTCTATGGAAAGGATCATCCATGGCTTCCTGGTCTGGATTTGCTTCGCCGAGGCAGGTACCGGTCCATCATCAGGATCCCTAATAGCAAACGGCCAACCGTTTAGAACCCAACTAACTAATCAATCTGATTTCGAATGCTACAACATTTAAAATGGAAGCAGTAGTGCATAGGCGAGGAGAAAAACGAGATTGGATTGTTGACACAGACAAAAGAAGCAATAAACTAGAAATGAGCAGAAGCTGCTTACGATCTGGAGAACTTCGCGAGGGATGAGTGGATTGGAATCCGGAAGACTGAATGAACAGGGCAGCCAGCAATGTAACAATGGATAGTAGTACTATGTTCCTCAAACCAGTACCCATTAGTTCTTATCTTTGACTTTGCTGTAACCAAACCAAACCCACGTTGGTTGTTTAATAGCGGTGGCTTCAATTCAATATGGCAGGTTTCAGTTGATTCCTGAATTTCGAGACAATTCGGGCATTGGTAATTTCTTGGGCTTGATAATTGTCCCGTTTAAACGATGGGCCTTGCGCGGCCCAGAACTGGAACCTTAGCCAAGGCCCAAAGTTGCAGCTTACTGCCGGCTCCTCCTCCGTCAACATCGCTTCCGCCGTAGTCAGATTCTCCTCCGTCCGTCGCATCGAACTCAACAAAGCAGATCTAACATAGCCTTTATCAATTTCAACGTCCATTCTCGCACCAGAGGTTGAGCGATCGCTGCAAAGCCATTGTTATTGTTTCTTTCAGGCTCCAGGGCTCGCTATCACCAAAAGGTATATTTATCACTTTCCCTCATCCACCAGATGTAGTCTGAATAGTGAATTGCGAGCTAATGATGTCTTCCCCGCAAAGTCGTTTACTTTGAGCTGCCATGTCTTGTGGATTGATCAAAGTCTGAAGCTTTGGGGCAACTTGTATTTTGGGTGTCTCTCTTTCCTTTAAGCGGCCATGACATGAGCTTCGATTACCCTGATTATGTTGCATCACCTTGTATTAATAGTTTAATACAATAATGTGCACAACATCTGGACTGCAAGATCATGAAATTGGGGAAGGAAACTAACTATTAGAGAAGCAGATCCGGCTACAGGCTGTTCCTGGCCTGTTCTATCTATGCATCGTTCCAGTGAATGGCTTGCGAGAAAGGAGTATCTGCGAGGGTTTGAGATTGTGCATGCATCTCTACCTTGATCTTGTCCAAGCTTGGGTTTCCTGGCTGCAAGGGTTAGTACTGCATGCATATCAGAAGCTTTCATGTGGCCATTGATATTTGCATTTTGCAAAGCCGAGTCTTGGAGGCATCGGACTTGTTCATACGTTCTTCATTTAATCCCTCACCGCAATCGTTATAAGGATTCTTTTACTTTGTTTCGAAGAGTATTCCGAATTACAGATGATTGATTGCATCTGGTGTTCTCTCACTGTAGCACTGAAAACATTTGCTGAAACTGCTACCAATGACACCGAATCCGGTTCTTAATGCTCTATTAGCTGGTCTGCTGTTTAGTTAGATCTTGTTCACAGGAGAGTATGTATTGTTCCCGTATTTGAATTCTTACAATGGTTGCTAGAGTTTCCTGATGATGAAACTAAAATTTCTGTGGAGTATTCTTGTAGTGAGTCCTAAATCGTAGTTAGCATCATCCCCTTCACACGTCACAGTTAATATTTGTTAGTATCAATCCAGAACCGAGCAGAAAGAACATCTGCAACTCTCTGTCTGCAATGGAAAATCCCTATCATCCAAAATCGAAGGCCGAGTGTAAGTCTTGGATTATATAGCTAGTAACTGAACGGCTGATAAGCACAAGTTTGGAGAACAATCTCAAACATATCTAGGTGTTTGATAACTTGGGTGCATGCATGCTTTGTTTTGCCTGTTTCTACCTGTGTTTCTCTGCAGCGGTTTATTGATTGTCGTCAGTCCTTGTGTGTAAAAGGAAGTTCAACTTGAATTAACTGGTATCTTTTATTGTGAAATGATCAAGTGTTGCATTCAGTCTCAGGACATTTGACAACTTTGGATGGCTGCTACTGAAGGGGAGGAGCACGATCCAGGGAGGGATGAGCTTGCTGACTCCCTCAATGATCTCTTCATTAGCATCTGCTCTATGGTGAAAGGAGAGCTGCAGGTCTCATACCAGAAAACCACTTTTAATTAAGCCCTAATTAACACACTCTAAACTTCAACGTTTCTTTCTTACTCCTGTTATGAAGTCCTTGTACTGTTTTCTAATATCTCTGACCCTAATGCTTTTTCCAGGGGACGAATAATTCTCTAGCACTTCTCGAGAAGTTGAACCTAAGAGTAGCTGAAGAGTACGAGAGCTTTGGAGATCTGGCTTCGGGCCTGAAAGTTTTCGTCGAGCAGTTGAAGACTAAAAGCGGCAGCTTTGATATGTATGTTCAACAGATTGATGCAATAGAGCAGCAGGTGACTGAGTTTGAAGCTGTGATCTCTATGCTTGACAAATACGTTTCTTTGTTAGAATCCAAAGTGCAATCTGTGTACCAGCAACATCATCCACCCTCTTAAGTCACCTAAATTCTGTTTTCTGCTGTCATTCTTTCAATTTGTTCAAGTAAGTTTGCAGCTCACTGGTGTGTGGCAATTGCATCTATTCATTTTCTGGTACTGAAGACCATTTAAGTGGTGGTAAATAGAACTTTGGAGTTAAATTACAGCATCAAGAAGAACTACAACTATGCAAGAAATATAGAGAAGCGAAACTGCAACGAAAATTAGAAGCGAAGAGCTTCGTTATATTATGATGATTCTCAAACGATCCCATTACATTATACAGTTTGCTTGAACCCAGAGAACAGGGAACGAAGAACAATAAAGAAATTAACGCCTACAAATTTCTCTAGGCACCAACGACAGTTGAGCAGCAGCTATTGCTCCCAGCACTACTACCAGTACTGCAACTCCGACGTTGCAAAATCGAATCGATCATGCTTCGAACTGTAACATTCGGCAGAAAATCACCCTCGTCGGCATTCCTCGCCCCACAAGCACACGACTTGGAACTCTTCACATGGTCACTGATGCAGCCCTTACAGTAGCTCCGGAAACAGCAACTCTTCACGAACACTGCCTCTCTCATTATCCCTCTGCATAATGGGCAGTTAAGCTCCGCCGGCACACCCACCGTCGTCAAACCACTGCTCTTGCTGCCGCTGCTGCTGGTTGTTGTTGTCACGCTGGAAAACGAGGAGATCCCTTCCATTTGCCTGTTGAACTCGCTCTCGGCGGCTGCACTGGGAGCTGTCGGCATTGGCCGCATTCTCTTCCGGAGATCGTAACTGGGATCGCCGTTGGTCGGACAGTCCTGAATGAAGTGGCCCTTTATCCCACACCGGTGGCAGACGTAGCCGGTGGGAGGAGGCTGAGTAGAGTAAGGCGCTTTTCTCTTCCCCGTCGTAGTCAGAGTCGCCGCCGTCCACTTTGCCAGAGCAGGAGTATTCACCAAAGCCTTGATCCTGCTCTCCTCGTCTTTGTCAACTGCGGCAGGAGCAATATTACTCTTCTTCTGGGCAGCAATATTGTTCTTCTTCTTCTTCTTCTCTGTCGACGGCTTTGTCACTTGGGAAGGAATAGCGTAGACATCACCGCCAAAATCATCGAAGTCGAGATCTTCGATTCCACTGTTCGTCGTCGTCATTACCGAATCCGAAGCAGAGAGAGACTTGGTTTCTTGTTCTGCTGACTTTACTTCCTCCACCGCCGGCCGGAGATCAATCGTCGTCGTGTTGAGAGGTTGACGGCGGCGGTCTCCTGGGATCCGCCGGAGTAAAACCGACGCTTTGTCGAAGATCAGCGCGCTTTCGTCGGAGTAAGGGGTATTGGTTTGGGGATCAATGATGGAGAGATCGTGATCCGTACCCAAACAGCAACCGTTCCAGACACTGTTACGGCGCCTGGTTTCCTGCTGCGATTTGGATTTCGGATCAGCAGATCGATCTTTGAAATTGGCTTTGAAAATCGCCAGTTTCAGATCCCCGACGGTTACGTAAGGCCCCTGTATTTGGATCTCGGAAAAATCCCTAGAACTCAGAAATTTGTACCGCACCGTCGTAGTCATCGTCGCCGCCATTATTTTAGGGTTTCCTTTTTTCACTCTCTAAACCAGATTATGCAGAAATTAAAATCAAGCTTTGGAACGAAGGTATAGCGGAAAACACAGAGAACCAGAGACAGGTGTAAATGAATGAACGAAGAATAAACAGGCGATCGGAAACAATGGCGAGAATCTTTCGTTCAAGAGATCAATAATAATGAAAGTAATCGAAGAGACGGACAATTTACTTTCGACAATCGGAGAAACGGGAAATAACAATTGTAAGCAATTCTGTTGCGAACTCAGAGCAATTACAATTTATTTTCAGATCTCAAACTTTGAATCTCGGAAGCGCCGGGGATATTGATCTCCGTTGGGCTCCGAACGGCTTCTGATCTTCTATTGCCTTGCTTCAAGTCAACGTCGACGTCGCCGTTGGCTACCTCCGATGAGAGAAACAGGAAGAACGCCGATTGGGAGTGGATCAGTTTCGCCGGATCGAGACTGGGTATGGTGAAAGAACTCGGCGGAAGTTTCTGGTATTTAAATAGATGAACTGATGAAGGCTGAGTCGGTTGGCTGGCCGAGTCTGACGCGGTTGCGTAACAAGGAAGCCAAACGAGGTTAGCCGTGGTCTCCCTGGATTAGTAGCGGTTACCACTTACCATGTTTGAAAAGTCAACAAGGTTTTGATATTTGTTTGTTTTTTTTTAAAGAGATATTTGTTTTTTTCTAAATTCTAACGGAGGGGAAAAAAGAATCCGTTAGGTGGATATTAGTTTTTTAGTAATCATTGTGGCTACTTATATCTAAACCCTTATTTAACTTTATTTTTTTCTTTTTTTAAAATGACGGTCAAGATTAAATTAAGGCTAGTTTGGGAATCAAAATATTATCACACCAGATTATTACCTATATTTATAACCTACCTTTTCCAACCATACGTCTACCCTCTCCACCCTCCCACCGGCCGCCTCCCTCACCCTCCCGCCGCCTTCACCTCACCCCACCCATCCTCCCTTCCCGTCGGCCACCTCCATCATCCTCCCGCCGCCTCACCCTCCCTTTCCCCCTGCCTACAACTCTTACCCACTCTCCCCACCTCACCCTTCCTTTCCCCACGTCGTCCACCCGTCCTCCCCACCCCACGACCCTCTCTCTCTCTCTCTCTCTCTCTCTCTCTCTCTCTCTCTCTCTCTCTCTCTCTCTCTCTCTCTCTCAGCAGGGAGGAGCTAATGGGCAAACGACCTGGGCGAGTACAGGACGCGAAGGTCATCAAAACAATCGACAACGCTGGTCATCCTTTTATCTCCGACCCTCTTACCTCAATGGTATTATTTTTGTCGCATTGGTATTGATTTTTTTGCATTGGTATTGTTTTTGTCACATTCGTATTGATTATCATGTAATGGTATTAATTTGCATGTATTGGTATTGTTTAAATATGCAATGGTATTGATTTTTTTGTGAAATGATATAGATTTATATTGGTAGATTGTTTATAATGGTAGTTTTCGTGTAATGGTATAGATTTATTTCTGCAATGGTATTGATGTTTTCAAAGTGGTAGTGGTTGTCTAATGGATTGGTAGTGATTTCATGTTTTTTCCTTTTGTAGAAATATTGAGAAAAATAAGGAAAGGGAATCTGACGGGAGATTACGGAAGTGAGAAAAAAAGAGAAAATTGTAATTGACAGGTTTTTGTAACTACCTAAAATATAATTTATTAAAAAAATTAATTAATTAATACAATTTATCTTTTCATACCCAATTTACCCTTAGTAATCACCGTAACCTGTCCCGGAAAAAAATCCCCCTGACCGTTCAAAGTACATAGATTTTATGAACGGTTAATCGTTTGCCTTGCTTCAACAAGTTACTATCAAATTCACACAACAAAATTTCTTAGGAACAATTTGGTTTTGTGAAACAAGTTGTAAGATCTATTGAGAATGTGACTAGATTGGTATCCCAAATTGTAACGTCATTTCGAACACCGTGAATTGTAAGCTAGCTGGTTTACATACATTCTTATTGGCGATCATCCATGCCTCGCCGGCGGTGAGAAGCTGGGTCGAATGTTGACATATGGACTAGTGGCCGGTGACCGCCGGTCGTAATTCTTGCCCCCTGCATTCCCCCCACCATACCGCGTACAAGAACAAGAACAATCAGCTTTTCCCCTCCCTCTTGCTATACTATGTACGATGAAATTTTACGACGAACAAGCTAAGGGATTGGTACCGTGGTAATACCACTAGTCATGAATTTGAAGGTATTAGTTTCGAATCCCATTAAGTAGTACCTAAACAACGACGAAAAGTTACGAAGAACCAGAAAGCTGACCTGCAACTAGGTCTGGGAGTGTTTGATGAAGAAGAAGCCGACGACATGAACATGCTGACTGGACTCCGACGGCCAGAACCAGAAGACCCACCAGAAGGCTGCAGACTTTAGGAGTAATCATCATCATCATTACAGCCAGGGGAGCATGGTTAATTAGTCTTGACTCTGGCTGCTCCACATAGTCCATATATACATGCCGGCAATTTTCCTGCTTGATCGAGTCAGGAGGCGCGTTAAATTTCCATCATTTTCTGGTTTGTCTTTGTTGTTAATCATTTACACATGGAGACGTGAGCGTTGTAACCAATATGCAGAGGTAATCAACAGCTGCATATAGGGTGGAAATCGGTATGGTATCTGTATCCCAATACCAAATACCAAAATTTCGAATTACACCCTAAAGTCAATCCCAATCCCAATCCCTAAATAATTTCGGTATCCCAATCCCAATCCCTAAATATTTCGGCATCCCAATCGGTACTTCGGTATACCAATCGGTATTATCAAATACAAAATTAATTTACCTTTGCAATTAATAATTAAACATATAAATTAGATTTTATTGTTTAATTTAGGAGAAAAGACTAGGCAAAGTGTCTTGTATTAGGATATTATTAAGGAGAAAGGAGGAGAGGAGACATCTCAAGTTCTTGTCATTGGTAATGTTAATTTGACGAATTGGAGGTTGAGAGACGACTATTAATAGTGATAGAATGATCTATGTATAATTAAATGACACTCTTGGTAGTTTAGGGTCGTATAGTAGTGAATGAGAGAGTCTAGTTTAGAGGATAACATACACACTAGCTTATATTTCGGATCCCATACACACATAGAGGATTTGGTTAATAGAATCCCTTCCACGAACTGATTTAAATCCATGGAATCACTCATCATTGTTGACATAGAGATCATAATTCTAAGTTTCGTAAAAAAAATGAGTAAAATATCTGACCGAACTCATCAGATAAAATCAAGTAATACTTATTAGCATATCGTTGTAAAAGACAGTGGAGAACATGCATCTTTCAACACTTGCACTTCTTTATAATCCAAGGAATCACTCATCATTGTTGGCATAGTGATCATAATTCTAAATTTCGTAGAAAAAAAATGAGTAAAATATCTGACCGAACTCATCAGATAAAATCGAGTAATACTTATTAGCATGTCGTTGTAAAAGACAGGGAACTCATTCTTACGAGAAAAAAATATCATTATAACTGACTTGAACTCGAGTACTTCAGATTAATAGTCAATATCCCTAACCAACTGGACTACAACCATGTTTATATATTTTTGAATTAAAGAGAGAAAATACTGAAATATCTCAAAATCATAGGACTATCCACCACAACAATCAATCATCAAATTAAGTAATAACTGTAATTATTTACAAAGTGAATCATCATGATATACCTAGCTTTATGAATAAACTAAGTGAGTTCCTCTAATCACACAATTCTTCACCAATAATCAAATAGTACATTTTGAGTTTATGTATGTCTTATAACTTTTACATTTATTAGGTTACACGACTTTGCAATTTGTAGGAATACAAGGATTGTTTACAAAAGTGTTATACAAAATTTTATTTCAAAACATAAAATTTCACATTTATGATCTATGGTTTTGTAACGAGACATTTTCAATGCTATAAGTGAATGACCAAAAATCATTGGTTAACAATTTTCCTAATGGTTGACAATTATAAGCATAGAATTGAAAGACTAAATACCATTGACAAATGAGCCAATTATCATTGGCTAAATTTAACAAACAATGGTATGTGTATATACATTGGAAATTCTATGGTACCCTCGATGGATTGAGGGTTATTACATCTCCTTAGTTAAATAACATTATCTAGACCTTAGATTAATCACGTAACTAAACCATATATCATAATTCTCTAAATCCTAATATAGAGCGTATGGTATGTTGTATACATCTTGGCGAATCAGAATCATTGATTATGTTCTTAGTATATGTGATATTAGGGTTTAAGTTCTACAGATTTAGGGTATATGATTTAATTATTTGAAACTTAATCTCCCTTTTCAAATTTCCTGCAAAAAGAGGGAAATTAGGAAGGACATTTTTGTCTTCACAATTATCTGTATTTTTTATTTATTTACAGAAAAAGATAGACATATTGAGATTTGAACCATGGTCACTTCAAACAAAGTGAAGGTTTAAAATCAATCAGACTATGTAAATTTGTTGTATTTTTTTAAACTAAAAATATATACAAAGCTAAAATATGAAATCACAGAACTTTTCAACAGTTAGCTAGCCCAATAAATATTTTCTAAGTACGTATTTGGTGTTTTGATACTTCGATTTTGATATTTTTTATTTTAATTATAGGTTAAATACTAAGTTTCTTTGTGCAAACTATAGGGGACTGGTTCTCTAAACATTTTTGTCCGGTTAAATACTAAGTTTTGAAACTCTTCCTAGGGGTGTACGTGGGTCGATTCGTTTGGGTTTAGATATTTTAATCACCTAACTCATATAACACGATTTTGAACACTAAATACAAACTCACCCAAATAATTTAGAATTTTAATGGTTTGTGTCCTCCATACCAAATGAACCAATTCACATGTCGCTTAACTAAGGACGATCTCTTTGTCCAATCTCATCATTCTAATGTCAATCCAAAAAAGTAACCCATATTCGCGTTTGTTAACACATGTTTCACATTGTCATTACTGTGACCGGTAACTTCGCTGCAACTAATTCGGTATTGCTCATCATATGGCCTCCAAACTGATAAACATATCGGGCCAGTAGTTCTATGACAAAACTCAAAGTGAAGACAACTCATCCTCAGGTGGAATTTTGGCGCTTGCTGGTGTCCATTAATCTAATTGCAAGCATAATGATTGCTAAAATTAAGCTTTCACGCAACACACTGGGAGTTGGGGGTGTGAACTTGGAGTAAAAGTTGATATTGGGTTTGGGAAGGGAAGTGGTGAGAGGAAGAAATTGTGTTTGGATTTGATAGCAGGTAAAGTTCATGGTTCGGTTTCTTTTCATAAAATGCTTTGATTTATTTTAGTTAGAGGTATAATATCATGGTTATGTGGGATCAAATGAACCAAAAATGAGCTTTGGGGATGGGAATTCCAACTTAGAAGGAGTGGATTAGATTTTGATAAACTCAAGTTCATGATTAACTGGAAGAATATTTAGAGTTTGTGCTATTGAGATGTTCATAGAGAGTTTAAAACTGATCCAAGGCCATGGGTTGATATTGGTTAGTTGATTGTGAATTTGAGGAAGGTGTATAAAAATCATGGAAGTAGTTTGCAGCAAGTGAAGGCAGTGAAGAGGCAGTTGGTCAGGGTAGTGATTGAACCAATGAGGGTATTGAAAGACATAGAAGCAAAATCAGAGCAGTTGAAGAGAGAGAAGTGGTAGATGATCAGGATCTTAATGAAAATGGAGAGTGTATTGAAGGGCATGGAAGTGAACTAGATCAGGTGGAGGCAGAGAAGGAGGAGAGGAGCATATTGATGGAATTGAAGATGAGTGTTGGTTTTACGAGCTTATTAAAACTGCCCCGAGGAAGATGAGTTGGCCAAACACAAGAAAGAGGATTGAGGACTTGGAGATCAAACTGACAAGAAATTCAATTGAAAGAGAAATTCAGGTTCATGGAGAGAAGGTCCATCAAAGTAGCATAAATGGAGTTCCAGAAGGAGGATTAGAATTGAATTTTGGTTTAAAACATATACGTCGAGAGATTGAAGATGGATGGGATAAAATGTTTGTTGTACAACGGAGAGTGGAAACTATTGGATCTTTAGGTGTTATGGTTGTTGCAACTACCACAACCTATGTTTATGTTAAAACAAGGAATCATTGATTGATTTACTAAAGTTAAGGTTGATTCACTATTCAAACTACTGGAACTTGCAGATAAGGAGTGTCTAATTTTGTGTCTCATTACTTTGATCGAGTCTATTAGTATATTGGATGTAACTCTAATTTTGTCATGGAAGTCTAAAGTGTAAACATATTACGTATAATTTTTTTTAGATAATGGTGAAATAATATTAATAAAAGGAAAAGCCACAGACTGCAACAACAACAACAAAAGGAAAGGTGTTGCAGCGGAACAAAGGACACAGAAAAAGAAAACTTTGCCCAGCAAACAGAGGTGCAGGCACAAAGAAAGGGAAAAAAGAACAACAAAGGAGTCCCAGCCCGCCAGGGAGGAACACAACATCACAACATCTTGACTCAAGCCTGGGCGAAGCTATTAGATGATCTGGGAAGCAGCTGATCCAATTGATTGCACAAAGCCACCCTTCTCCACTCAACTTCCCGATCATGTAGCCAACTTTGACGCAAACAGCGTTAACAGTTGGATCACTTTCAAAAATGTTATGAGCATAACTAAGGTAGAAAACAATCATTTTATGCATTTCAAATCATCTATTATATCCATTATTATATATCATATTCCTCGACAAAATTAGGGCTGGCTATTTGATTCGGGCTATTTGGTTTTATCTGAAACCGGACCGGGACCGGACTGGAACCAGATAGCACAATCCAATATCATCTTCAGGCTTAGATTTGAGATAAAACCCCATTTGGGACTTAGATGGAAAACCTGATAAGAGAGCCCAACACCCAAAACTTAACCAACTCGTCACCCTTTGAGACTTTAGGCCACTCAAATCCCCACAACCTCAATCTAAAATCAAGACCGAATTGGGACCGGACCGGATTAAGACCGGACTATATCTAATCCAATCTTTGATCATTATATTCTCGAAAAGACCGAACTGAGACCTGATCAATTTGGACCAATTTAACAGGACAGGACCATATAACCACCCCTAGACAAAATTCTTCCGGCCAACGGGTCAGACCTTGTGCTAGTATAAGCTACGGTTAAACTTTCCCCACACACATGAATATCCATGCTTTGTGTCTCATCTAGTCATCTTCATGTCAATCCAAACACTTTGGTTAATCACCACATAATCTCTATGCCTAAAAGTCACATCGACATGTTAGATATATCCACATAATTCATATTCAATCCAAACACACCATAATTTATATAACAAAACCAATAGGCAACCTTTATTAATCATGTTTATTACACTAGATAATCGATGTGTTCCAAATTACACTTGCGTGACTTGGTTTTGGGCACCAAGTTAATTTGTGGCTCTAAATTACTCCAACGCTAATTATGTATGGTACTCCAATAAAACAGTAAATTATATCAGACCCAATGCAGTCAAAATCGCGCTTTAAAACTTAAAAGCTTAGGCTTTTACCTTTTTGGGTCACCAAAATGTTTCTACGTAGAATCATGATTTCCCTTTACAAATGTAGTCAAAATCTACGTTTTAAAACTTAAAAACTTACGATTTTACACTTTAAGATCACCCAATTACTTCTAGGTAAATTCGCACTTTTGACTGCATTAATCCGACCTCAATTAATTACCAACAAGTGTGAGGGCCGAGGGGAGATATATATCATCCAAAAAGGCAAAGAAGATATCGACTAATTTACACGAACAGAAAAGACTTGTTGTATAATATTATCATCACTGCCTTCCGCTCATCGGCCTGTATATCTACATATATATCATCCATGCCTCCCCGGCGGCGAGAAGCTGCGGCAAGGATCGATCGATGAATTGCTCCTGGGCAGTGGCGGCCGGCCGTTGTAAAATTTGCGTCCTGTGCGAACAAACAAATTTTTTTTTTTTATGGGCCAGGAAACTCAGAAGTCTCAATGGCCCAAATGAAATTAAGATCTCCTTTGATACTTAGTATACACTGACCTGCGGCTGCATTTGGACCGGGAAATATCGGACATGAACATGCCGACAGGACTCCAAGAGCCAGCACCAGAAGCACCATGGCCAGGACTCTGCCGACATTATTATGACTCAGCTTGATCATCTCCTTCAACCCAATTCGATCGTTGGAGAGGATTAGGGTGTAATTAAGAGTAGTGACTGATTGATATCATATATATATATATATATGATCTATGTATATATACATGATGGTACAGTCCATTGATTTCGTCCTTTAATTTATTGGCCAATGTGCTTTTGACCGAGTCGTAACTCGTACACGTTGACGAGGTACATGTATTAAGCGATGAGCTATATATATTGTCATGTTCTTGTTTGTCTTAGGTTGTTAACGATATGCACATTCTTTGGAATTGGAACTGAACGGTATGTATGTATGTAGGGAAGACGACGACAGCCGTAACAAGAGAGATTCAATGCTTGCGGATCGAATACATATGTCGAACCCATAAAATGTCAATTTACCGTACCATTTTCCTAGCTATTGGATTAGCAGGCGTTAGGGTGGCAATAATTTTGCTTAAACCCGTGAATTTTTGTGTATCAGGTCGATTGGGCTCGGTACGAAATCCAATTATAGTATAAACGAATTAAGGTTGATAGATTCATACCCATATCACTATAAAAAAAAAATTAAAATTTACAATCTATCAAATTTTATGTGTAGTTACATATCACTATAAAAAAAAATTAAAATTTACAATCTATCAAATTTTATGTGTAGTTAAAATCATCTAACAAGAATGGGTAAATTCATACCCAACGCTTGCCCAATTAGAATATGAAAGCAATAACTATACCTACCCAATTCCATCGACAAAAATCCAAACCCATATAGATCTCCGTCGCACCCTCCTGATATTCATTAGATCCATGAGCTCAAATGGGTGAATATGAGGAGGGTGCCTTCCTTATTTTCGCTATCTTACGGATTGACTTTTTGGTTTGGTTTCCTTTCACCGTAAATGTTTCTTTTTCTTTGTGTAATTGAAAACCTTCATATTTTTTCCTTTCACTTCTTGAAATGAAACACCATACAATATATGATATATTGATTGTCGCCATGCAAAGTCCTTATGGTAACGTTATTATTCAAACAAACGTGCATAAGGTACAATAATACAATCAAACGACCTTAATTATCCATGTCCTCCAGGACGCGAAAGGCTTACTCGAGCGCCATATCCAATGTCGGCTCCTGCAATTTGATCACCCCTTATTCTATCAACATTTCATGTTATTAGTCAAACTAAAAACTATTAACTCAATATGAAACAATGTTATGTTCCGTTATTTATCTGTAACCTCTAAATCTTATCCAAAACTTTCAATCATACAACATCAATCTTATACCCAAATACATTCATAACACGTTCTACGAGTACATCTTTCTTATCCGTGTTGGCCAATGCATGAGACACTTCCTGCCACATGAGAACAACCGTTTGGTCCCGATGGTACTCTGGATCCTACAATTTCACGATCACCTTATTTCATCAGTGATGATCTTTTGGTTTAGTCGAGCTGAAACTCATTATTAATGTCTACTCTACGTACTCTAGAACAGAACTAATTAAACAGTGCTTCCATTAATCATCTCTAAGCAGCCCCTGAATCTTAATATCTAAATATTAAGATTATACATACAGTCTTAACCTTCTAAATCAAGTCTTAACATTCTTATACCCAAATAAATTCATAACATGTTATTTAAATTCTCCATGTGAGACTGGGGGAGGAATGTTGGAAATTTGGTTGAATCGGACTAACCAAGTCAAATCGGTTTTGGGTTGGACCGATCAACTGGTTTGGGATTAGACCGACCGAATCGATATTATAATTCCATGAAGGGACACATCCCTTTGGCATAGTGGCGGTTGCATTATTTTATGGATAAGGATAACCGTACGGATAAAGTCAACCTTTCGTATGGATAGATGCAACCTTTCATACGGATAAAGGCAACCTTTCGTATGGATAAAGGCAACCTTTCATGAAACAATGCATGGATAATGGCGGTTAAAACCCAATTTTGTTATCCTTAATTTTGTCCATTGGTTGCATCCTTTCATTTGAAACAAGGTGATGCTTGGGATTGAAGCAAGGTACTTGTTCGGCCTCTATAAATAAGGGGTGATGCATATGGAAATGGACACACCAAAATCGATTCTTCTTCCTACTAAACTTCTAAGTATGTTTTAGGTACTTAAGCCTGGAATCTAAAGAGGTGATAGTTTTATCCTGCGAAAATTTTTCCTGTAACCCTAGGCTTGTTGAGGGTGGAAATATTCTTTGTGAACGTTGTTCACGACTCTATCACAATCCTGGTCACCCGGTCTCGGACTTATCGTACGTGTATCCTCGTTCGCTAAAAGTCCCAACAATTGACTACAACAATAACATGATCATTTAATCGAAGCTGGCTATACTTACCGCGTTGGAGGAGTTGGCGGGCGGACTCTGCTGGAACTGCTGAAAACAGAATGATCAGCACGATGAACAGTACGGCTATCAGTTGAGCGAAAGGAAGAGCAGCCTTTCTCGTCGTCATCATCTTTAGTGACTCCATAATTGTATCGATCTTCTTATGATTCTTTGCTATGAAATCTGACTGGGAGAGATGTTAATATATAGAACTAATTAAGTGGGAGAAGCGCAATGATCGCTGTCTCTCTTTATGGTGCTGCAATGAATTAAACTTCAACGTACGAGTGGAGACGCCAGACTTGACTATATGCACACAAACACAAGTGGGACTTGAATTGGTATGTGGGAGTGGGAGTATACTATGCATGTATATAGTCAATAGTCAACTTCGCGCCCGCCACTTGTTATCAACTGATCCATTGTGCTTCACTTTCCACATCAGTTTAGCACTCTTTTAGATGAGTCCAGATCGTAATAATCATTAAGTACTCGTTTGGAGCCTCCGGTTCTTGTTTGGAGGTTATGATTTCAGAGGTTGTATTTAATGAATACATGTAATGATCAAATTCATTTCTTTTTTATTTATTTATTGTGACATAAAATGCATGTATTGTATTAGTAATGAGACATTTACACCTATCGCTCGACAAATAGCCGGAATCTCTGTTATGAGGTTTATCACATTCCACCATGCTTGTTAGAATGAATTGTCTGACTTTTCATAAGCTTTGTCAGATTCTTAGAGATGAGGGATGACTTGGGTGTAGTTGGAACATTGATATAGATGAGATGGTTGCTATCTTCCTTTACGCAATAGCCTATAACGAGAAGAATCGTTAATTGCAAGTTACTTTTTGTCATTAAGGAAAAACAATTTCTAGGATTGTTCTTCAATCGGTTTTGAAACTTCACCCTATTTTACTTCTTAAACCCCAGCCAGTTCTTGAGAGTTTTGATGATCCAAAATGGAATTACTTCAAGGCGAGAATAAAAAATCACACACATATATTATTTCTCAGAATTTCCTTGGCCAATTGTGTGTGATTATGTTTGTATATGATGGTTATTTTGTTAGAATTGCCTTAGTGCACTTGATGGAACAATTATCAATATACGTGCATCAAAAGCGAATCAAGAAAGATATTGTACTCGTAAAGGAACTATTGGAATGAATGTGCTTGGAGTTTGTGATCAAAATATGAAATTCATCTATTGTTTCGCTAGTTGGGAAGGGTATGCTCATGATGGGAGAGTCTTGAGAGATGCTTGATAGACCGATAATTATACATGTTTTCACCCCTATTCTGAAGCCGTTTGTGATGAGGAATCTCGTATTTTAAGCCGATTTCACACTAGGTTGTGTGTTTATGTCATATTTCAGGTCCCGGCGTTGGAATCGAGGCGGAGAAACGAGTTCTGGGTCGAAAGGAGCAAAGTTGGGACGGATAGGGCTAAAGGAGGAAAATACCCGGTCAGGTGGCCAAATACCCGACCGGGTATTCACCACTTTTGGGCGCCCGAGAAGCAGAGAGGGGCCCGGGCACAGCAGCAAAATCCCCGGTCGGGGATTATGGCGATTGACCGGGGATTCTTCCCTTAAGCGAAACGGTGCGCTGCAGAGATACCCGGTCGAAACCCAAAATACCCGACCGGGTATTTCGACCGGGTATCGCGACCAGACAGCTGATTTAAGGAGGAAGAAGGCCAACATTGAAGGTTCCGAGTTTTTGAGAGAGAAATCGATTCCTAGAGAGAGAAAGCGACGAACCAGAGTTCCCAAGCGCCATAGATCGATCTTCAACACCATTGGAGCCCGTCTTGAGCTTGGAGAAGTGCGATTAAACGTCCAGGAGCAGGAATCCAACTTCACAGTATGATTTCCGTGTCTGAATCTGCTTTTGCTTCTTTCTCTATGGAGTAGTTTCCCCATTCATCTGGGTATGGAGAACCCTAGATTTGTATGCTAGGTCTGATTGTATGAACCCAAGTACAGAGTTTGTGAATTGATTATATTCGATTGAGGTTTGAATGATTGAATGACTTGAATCCTGATCAAATTCCTGTTGTTTCTGCTTTGACCTAGAATGAGAGTATCTGCCTAGGTTGATAGAGTACCCTTAATCGAAGGTGGCGAATTGGTGACTTTAGTCGAGGAGCCAATTCGCTATTCTGTACCGAAGTTAATTCGGTAGTGGAGGTTTGGTTCATTAGGGCCTCAATCTGTTTACTCCGGTGGAGGTTAGTCGCCCGCTAGAGACTCAGATTGAGAGGGTCTGGAGACCTTTAGTCGAGACTTCAGGCTAATTGAGAACCTTCCGCAGTATAACTTTCATGAAAACTGAACTTGGTAATTACAATCCGACTTAACTGCAGTCTAGGGGGAACCATATCCGGGTGACCTCTCTTGACTTGACAACAAACCGTTTACTTGCTTTGTGTTCTGTTTGCTTGAGTTGCACTAAAAGTTCACCGCTGAATAACAAGAATTCACCGAGTAGTCATCACATCTAGGACCCGGGTTGACATTAAAACCCGACCCGCTATACTACGCTTTAGGAAGTGGTTATACTTGGCCATTTTCTAGGATGACAGTAACAGCGAGTCAATGCTCTTATTAGGCCAAACGGTTTAAAGGTTCCAAGAGGCAAGTTTGTGTAGTTTACTGCATAATGGAATTAGCTATATATTATTATTTAATTTTCTTATGTCTTCTGTTTGGTAGGTTATTATTACTTATGTGATGCCGGTTACAATAATTGTGAAGGATTCTTATCTCCTTATCGAGGTCAATGTTATCATCTAAAATAGTGGGATGGGAGACGACCTAAAACCCCTGAAGAAATGTTCAATATGAGGCATTCAACAGTAAGAAATAGTGTAGAGCGAGCATTCGAAATATTGAAGATGCGTTGTGCAATTTTAAGAGAAACCACCTGGTTTTCCACTGATATGGTTACCAAAATTGTGAATGCTTTGTGTCTACTGCATAATTTCATACGTGGGGAGGTTGGTGCTGCTGTGTTTGAGGGGTTGTATGTTGGTGAAGATCCAGATGTTGATCCTCAAGTGGTGGACGAGGACCTTATACACCATATCCAACCGTCAGTAGAGTGATCATAGTTTAGACAACAGCTGGCTGAAGATATGTGGGCTTCAGGAATTGGGTTGGTAATTGATAAGCAAAATTAGGCTGCAGGTTTACTATCTTTTGAAGCATTTTGTAAACAATGGCTACATGTGTTTATTTTTGTAACAACAAGATGTAATCCGTGGCTTTACATCTTGTAAACAATGGCTACATGTGTTTATTTTTGTAATTGCAGCTTGTAAATAGTGGTTTTTTCATCTTTTAAATAATGGCTACATTTGTAACTTTCAATTGTAAACAAATGCTTCTATTTAGTAATCAATGGGTTTATGTACTTGGAGTAGTTAAAGGTCTTGTCTTTATTGAAAATGCTTTTATGTTATAGGGTTCAACTACTGCATTTATTTGTTGGAACTGTGTTTATTACAGGAGAAGATCTCCAAGGCCAGTCCAAAGATTTTTCCATCACCTATGATGATTATGGGTGGGCATCCAGTTCGGTTAAAACCGAACCGAAATCGAATTACTAGTGTTCGGTTTGGAATTCGGAAAGCAAAACTGGATATTTCAAAACCCAGGGTAGTCATCACCGAACTCGAATTCCGAAACCCAAACCGACAAACCGAAACCCAATCCACACCCAACCTAAAGCCCACCTCTCCCCAGACCCCAGCCCAGTCCCCCTATGACCCTAAGCCCAACCCGTCAACCCGCCCAATTATATGATCTATCAACACACTCACTATCACAGCCCAACTCCCACAGCCCAACCCTAATTTACTCCATCCCCAATCTGCCTCCCAACCAATCCCATTGCGCCGCCGACTTAGATTCACCGCCTCACTCCCAGGCGGCTGCCATTGTGGCTCCATCTGGCGTCGCCCGAACATCGTTTTACCGGCATCAGATCCAACGACGGAAGCACCATCGCCAACACGAGCATCCTGCTCTGTGTTTCTGTCAGTCTTTCAATCCCAGATCTTGAAACTTTCTTCTCCTCCTGAATCAGAAACAGGAACGAAGCTAATGAAGCTTGATGGAGAAAATCGAACCAAAAAATACCATGCATGCTTGGAAAAATCTGCAGACTAACCTTTACGTAAAAAGTAACTATCGTTCGTAACCTTTACGTAATGGAAGGTGGATTTATGTAATGAGTATTAACCTCTCATTACGTAAAGTGCTAAGTCATTACGGAAGTCTTACATAACGCTTTCGATTGCACTGTTACGTAAGAAACAACTATCATTCCCTAACCTTTACGTAACAAATGTTTATTTTACGTAACAGTTGTAAAATGTCATTACGGAAGCCTTACGTAATAGAAAGTCTTTGTTACGTAATGAGTATTAATGTCGTGTTACGTAAAGTACTAAGTCATTATGGAAGCCTTACGTAACACTTTCAATTTAACTGTTACGTATAGAATAACTGTCATTATGTAACCTTTACATAATGGGTGTGTATTTTACGTAACAGTTGTAAAATGTCATTACGAAAGTCTTATGTAATAGAATGTCATTTTACGTAACGAATATTACTCATATGTTACGTAAAGCGTGAAATCATTACGGAAGATTTACATAACACTTCTAGTTTAACTATTACGTAAGAAATATGAGACGTTACGTAACCTTTCCTTTACGTAATAATGTATATTTTAAAAATAATGATAATGATTACATAATTTATTAAGATTTACTTTTCACATTTCTTTCCATGCCGTAAGTACAAGAATTTTCCTATTGTGATCGGCTAATGAAATTAAATTAGAGAATTTAACGGAAACAAACCTAAAATTAAGGGATATAGACATTTAAAATAGGATGGGTATCCGCCAAATTGGAGAAACCGGCAGAGTGCCAGTAACCAAAATTTATTAGCTTTTTGCTTTTTTCTTAATCAACTTTCTAAATTTAATATAACAGATTTTAATGATTATGATTTATCAAGTTACCTTACTTGATATTATACCCACGTTACTGTAGGAGATCCCCATATTATGTATAAGTATAATTAGAAAGAGGGATTTATACTTGTTTACTCCTAAAATATTATTTTTAATAATTACTATATTTTTGCGGCGTCGTGAGTGCAACCACGCCGCGAGATAACAGTATCGCGATACGTAGAGGTGCCGCAA